CCTTGTGATCAAGCAACCTCTCCTTTCTTCACCTCCCCTCCAGGGGGGCTTAACCTTGTAAGATCTCACAACAGGCAGTTGACAGCTGCATTTCATGGAGACCAGTCAGGCTCCGTTATTTTCGAGCTGTTCTCGCCATGATGTCAATCGGAGGGCCAGAATAATCCTTTAGTCTGATTTGTGTAGAAGATGGCATAAGGTAACCTTCAAGCCAGGCTTTCAAGTTTAAATATGGTAGAGTTCCAGAAAGCTTTGTATTATCTATACTGGAGGTCAGCAACCTGCAGCTCCAGAGCCACATGAACTACCTGCTGTGGCTCCATGTTGGGTGATACCACAACTGGCTGGCCCCGCCCCTCACCCTCCCATCCCAATCACTCTTGCCTGGCCTGAGAGGGGAAGGGTGACAGTGGGGGATGGAGAAGAGGCTGGAGTTGATTCTCTGGCACTCTTGCTGGTGCTTCCTCCAGTCCTTGTTGGTGCCGGGCATGCCTCGGTCTCTTGGGAGACATGCAATCTGCTCTCCACCTCAAGACACTGGTCCAACATGGCCGCAACCAACAATGGCCTCACTAACATGAAGGCTGGCGGGGTGGGAATGGGATCCAGGAGGTCAGGATGACAGAAAGAGGGATGGGCCAGCAGCGAACATTTATAAATTTATTTATAAAGAACATTTAGCAAAATACTGGCAGTGTTAGCGGCCCACCTCCGCAGCCATCCAGTTCGTCTGGAATGTTATTTGGACAATATAATTATTCATTCTCTCACCACCAAGCAGGCGCACCGCGATGTGACTCTAACTGTGCAGACTCTGCAGCAGCATGGCTTCTCTGTCAACATGGAAAAGAGCCAGTTCCGGCCATCCACCTGTATACAGCACCTGGGTGCAGTCATCAGCTCCACCTCCTGCCAGGTATTCCTTTCTCCAGATCGGCTGTCCAACCTGAGACGCAGAGTGAAGCACTGCAGCCTTGCCAGGTCGGTACCCATCATTCAGCTGTCCCAGCTCCTGGGATTATGATATCGTGCCTGAGGGTGGTTCCCTGGGCTCGTCTCCACGCCAGGGAGCTGCAGTGGTTCCTGTTACCCATGCAGAGGGCCAAGATCAGCAACTCACACAGGCGTGTTCGGCTCCCGCGAAAGGTGATCCGATCTCTGGCATGGTGGAGGTCCAAGGCAGTCAAGAAGGGCTGCTTGTTCAAGGAGCCGGAAAGACTAGTTGTCACCACGGACGCCAGTCTCCTGGGGTGGGGCGCCCACTGGCAGGGTCACCTAGCCCAAGGCCGATGGACTCAGAGGGAGGCTGCCCACAGCATCAATTGGCTGCACCTGAGGGCAGCTCGCCTCGCGCTGAGAAGGTTCGCTGCTCTAGTAAAAGGGGCTCATGTACTGTTGATGACAGACAATGTGGCGACAAAGGCGCATATAAACCGGCAAGGCGGCACTTGATCAAAGGCCCTCATGCTCGAGGCGGAAGCTCTGGGCAGGTGGGCGGAACGTCATCTGGCTTCTCTCAGTGCAG